CCCGGCGTCCCAGGGCTCATGGGTGGCCCAGGCGTACAATTTTTCCTCAAGTTTGATAAAAAAAAAAAAAAAAAAAAAAAACTTCACATCACCCAAATAAACCGTGCCCAGGTAAAACAAGGCAGTGAAATCAACATTCTTTGGGCCACTTTTCTTGAAGTGGAGCAGGTTTTTGTCAACTCAGTCATTTTTGAGCCAAAACTTTCAAGAGTGCGCTAAAGTAAAGATATGTAGTTTATTTAAGTGCAAGCATACATTCACATCAACAAATCATAACCCAAGAAACTGCAGAAGTCCACAACTAAATCTGACAGAAAATCTGAGCAATAAATCGACAACATTGGGAGAGTGAGAGCAACAATTTGATAGACACAGCCCTCTGATTTACTCAACCAAACGAGACAAAATTTGAATCAGAGATGCTTTATTTTAATTAAAAGGGCATGCACACTTTTGCAACCAGGAAGCCAGATGTTGCTTTTTTTTTTTTTTTTTTTTTCATTTCCCTCTTTGTCAGTTAAATTTTCCAACATATATGACACAATAAAAGCAATTAATTTATTATGAACAAAAATGTCTTTACCTCACAAAAGCCTATAATTGTATGAGGGATATTACACTTTTGAGATATATATCACTATTTTGTATCAGATTATTGGGGTTGATAACTTTTGCTCTGGAATGTTATTTTTTCCCCTCAAACTTTTACCTTTAGTAACATAAAAAGTATACATAAATATAGTTAAATTTATATAGTTTATATTACAGGCCTTTGAAGACAATGTGTTTGAGAGCCAAACTTTCACTTGTGTTGTTCTGCTTTAATGCTTTAGATGAATGAATACTAAAGAGTAAGTAAAATGTTGTCTAATTGTCTAATATGAATAAAACCATGGTAAAAAAGAAAGAAAGAAAGAAAGAAAACAAGCAACAACAAAAAAAAAACAAACAACAACAAAAAAACATTTGTATGAATCTATTTTTTATGCATCTCCTATTAAAAGCTTTCGGGATTCAATTCCGGGTGATAAAACATACCAAATAAAAAATAAAAAAGATATATTTAAGAAAGAAGTCTTTTAAAGCTGATTATCTAAGTTGATTTTGGGTTAGTCCTATTATTTCAGTAGGTAAAAAAGTTCAATGAACTGTTGAAGACATTCAGAAAACCGGCGATCAACATGTTTGCAGTACAGTACAAGCATAATCCGTGTGAATCTCTCCAGCTCTTGTTGTCTGATAACTTACTTCTGCAATCCTGCCGGGCGACAGCAACATTAGCCACAATTCACATGTGACTAACACAGAGATTCTCATATGACTCCTACACGACAGACCTTCCAGCTCCACCTGATCGGCATGTGTCTGGAAACGACGAATAAGTAAGTTCTAGTTTCTCTGAGGAAACACATGCTGACCAAAACCACCCACAGCTGTGATGAACCTTCAATACCACTAAATACTGCATCGGGTTTCCATTAAGAGTCATGGGACTGCTTCACACTCTTGCTGTTATGTCTCATTTTTTTTCACATCTCGCCATAAATGAAGCGATATGCTAAAATGCGACGTTAATAAATAATCAGAAGTATAAATCCATCGTTTTGACTGCTGCCCAGTGACCTGAAGTCAAGCAATTAGGCAGAATTTTATAGTGTCAAGAAAGCAAAAGGATGGCGAAGATGATATATGTTTGCAACTGTTGTTTTTCTTCAAAATGTCACTTTAAACAATATTTTGTGAACATATTGGTGCAGATTTTCTGTGTTGCCGAGACAGTGCACCGTCCATGACAGAATGCAAAGAAAAAAGAAAATGTGTGTGTGTGTGTGTGTGTGTGTGTGTCTCAGCAGCGGACAGATTTGCATTTACAAAGCTGAGGCTGGCAGGCTAGCAATGACAGCCCGGGTGAATTCATCGCATGTCGCGTAGCCCCCCAGGTCTCCGGTGCGCACCTGTCGCAAACATAAGGACAGCGTGTTACCATGTGCACAGCTGCTGCAGCACATGTCCACATTGCAGTGTCGTGGCCTGCATGTCGGAGAGCCTTTGATACAGTAACTGTACTCACAGAACAAGCCGAACAGGACCAGTGAGTAAATGTCGCTGCGAGGGAAAACGTCCACTCTTCAATTTGATGATAAGTTGGAAACGTGTCTGTCTATCAAAGCTGTGAAACAGAGCAATGCCTTTCAAGTGTTTCTGTTGGTTTAGATATTTGCAGTGTACATCTCCCTGATCTGAGCTACTGTGCAGTGCGTTTCTTGCAAACCTTTTTTTCCCATTTAAAATCATTCTTAGTGATACTTTGCCATCCAGAGGAACTGAATGTGGGGTTTTCTTCTGTTGGAAGCTGCAGTCACCAAAACAAGCCGACGGGTATAAACTTGAAATGTGCCACTCGGAAAATAAGAATGTGCATACATATATATTTTCTTCTGCGAGTTCTGTTTAGGAAAAAAAAAAAAAAAAAAAAAACATGGCCAGTCTAGTGCTGATGGAGAAATGCCATAATATCTCTTCGTTCTTTTACATTTCTGCTATATGTTAACATGTTGACAAGTCAAGGTTATTCATGGGAGCAGTTAAGAACGTTAAAATATCACTTGCCAGAGAGGTGCCTTTTGTACAGAGAACGATGAACGCTGACAAATAAAATCTCAAGGAAGTCATACATGAAAGAATGCTGTCTCCATGGATTGTGACAGTAATTCGGTGCTTTTTCTTCAGCCTATGGTGCTTTCATCTGACAAAATTACATCATAGTAGAAATGTTGGATGCACCAATAGCCCGAATAAAAATAGTGAACACAGTGCATTATGAGTAATGCATGTAGACATATATATATATATATATATATATATATATACATACATATATATGTGTGTGTGTGTGTGTACTTTACATATAATGATTATTATATATAATGTAATTATATTACATTACATGTAATAAGATGATCCAGGTGCTTCACAAAAAGTTTTGTAGTTCATAACAATTTTAAAATAACTTTCTGTAAACATGGATCTGTGCAGCAGATAATTTAAGAAGATTTAAATGTAGCTCGTGACAGAAGAAATAGACACATGAATAGTTTATGGATCTTTGTAAAAGGTCCATCTCCCTTACATCAATTAGGACTTTATTTGGTTGTTGCTTTTTTTTACTAAGTCATGTGTTCTTCATTACTGACTGGAAGTTTTGCCTTTCTAAGCTACAATATAATGAATAAACATAAAGTGAAAAGTCTACAAAGGCACAAACATATCACACGTTACCATGAATGTAGCGACACTTAAAGGGTTCCTATTCATTTTCCATTTCAAAACTCCATACTTTTTATATGCCAAATTGCAGATTTTTTTTTTAAAACAGTTTTTAACAATATTTAGAACATCTGAGTGCAAAGTATTTGAAGAAAATGCTTGCATAACATAACATTTGATTCCTTTTGATGGCACCTGAACAAACGTAGATCTGTTTCATTTCAAAATCTAAGATTCTTGCCATTTTGTTGCTTTGTACTTGTGACATGTGCAACATCAAAGTTGAATTCTACTTTTAATTCTAATTAATCGGGGCTTTTTGAAACATTTAGTGTAAACTGATGCTTTAATACTGTTTGTAAAAACAAACAAAAATATCAATGTTTAAACCACCATATATTAGAGATGGACAAAAAACTAAAAACCCTAAAATTGTAATTTTATTTTTGGAATGTGTTTGTGCCAAAAAACAAAATACTGAAAGTCAAAATGTTAAAATATAGTTATGATGTGGCAAAAAAAAAAACAACAAAAAAAAAAAACCTTTATTTTAACCCTTCAGAAACTGGAATAAAGTCTGGAAATGAAAACACTTTTCTACGTCGGGTTTGGGAAAACAATAAAGAGACAACCTTCATGTAGCAGCTAAGATTATGTCCATTTAGGAAAACTGCAAGGAACTGACTAGATTAAACCTGTAACATAAGTTTACCTATTAATATAACCCAAAATAATGGAAATGCTAATGTTGAGGGTGATTATGGAGGTAAAGGGACTGCAGGCAGGGAGAGGAAACAGAAGACAAAAAATATGGGATGGAAATCTGCATAAACTGTGTATTTTGTCACAAATCACTGCTTTTACATCGGCTCAGTCACACATACATTAAACATAAACATTGAAGGCCACTAATGTCAAAGCAGAGTAACACATATGGGACACAAATATGGAAGCGGGGAGGGTTTCCAGTCTTAACATGCCTTCAGGTCATGTTAGGATCAAGGTCCACGTTTAAGGCAACATGAGGAAGAGGTGCGGCAGGTGGGATCTTATTCGGTGGGTCGGTGTCGCAGGTTCTCCACTACTGCTTGCACAAAGTCGCCAGTGGTAGAGTACCCGCCGAGGTCTCGTGTTCGAACCTGGGATGTGCACAAAACACACGTATGCAAACGACAGACACACAAAGGTCAGCGGGGTGCAGCGGCGGACGGGAGTGACAGGAAAAGAAGCGGAGGAGCAAACGGGTGACATGAGGTCAGCTTTTGAAGGATTTTGATATTTGCCAATAGTTTTAACGACAAACAGCGGGCTGGGTGGTGGGAGCTGGTGTTGGAGGAGGTTGCACGGCTGCAATTAACGCATCAAACACGAGCAACGCTGTCAGGATTCAGTATCAACATGCTGCACCCGTCACAGTGGCATGCTTCTCGCATTCAGCACACACTAACGAAAAAATCTGGGGCGGCTAAAATATTGGGCCAAGAAGAAGTATTTCACCAACTTTTTGTAATGTTTTGGAGAAAGTTGTGGCCTTTCGAAAGGCACTCGGTGAATTTAAATGAATGCCAATTCAAGTTTTGTTCACATTATTCCTGGAGGATGTTTAATTGAACAGATCTTCTTTTTGTTTTTTAATTAATCCAGGTATACCCCATGGTAAAATTCTTGGCCTGATTCTTTTCAAATAATATGCAACCAATTTGTCTGGTAACATCTTAGTTTCTGTTTCAGGAAATGAAGCTCAATATTTGGAGATGATTACAGTTTGTTTTCCCAAGTGGCAAAATTTTTGTGGAGATTAATTTAGATTTACACATATTAAAGTCATTATAAAACAAGTCTAACAAGCAATATATTTTAATCTAAATTACACCATTATAAAAACAAACTGAATTATCACCACCAACATTTTTTTAATTCAGTGGTATGTGTTTTATTATTCACTACTTTGTTATGTGTTATTGGATCATCGTGGGTGTTTTGTTTGCACTTTACTTTGTATCTTAAACCTGTAGATCACGGACAGAAAACATGACCTGAAAGAGGTTGATAATTATGGATGGCAGAGAGTAAAAATGTTAGTTTCAAACTCTAAAGAAATATAAAAGTAAAGGATAGTAGAAATGCAGCAGGGCTGACACAGACATCAGTGAATCAAAGGCTCTCCAACACACAAGTTATTAGTCAAGTTGTTAAATTTGCAGGCCAAGAACTGCTAATGTTACACCACAACAAAAAAAAAACTGTTCAGTTCAGACTTGCTCAATAAAAACACAAACTGGAATTTGATTCTTATAGTATACTACATGCACATATGCACAGGATGCATGGAAAGATAATATTTTCAGTTACTGACCTGCAAATTAGAGCATAAAAGTATGTTATTTAAAGAGCGTGAGTTTCATTAATAAGCATGAAGTCTTCAAACTCAGCGAGTATGTTACCTTTCCCTGCTTGATGACTTTCTTGACAGCTTCTGACACCATTTGGGAGTGGTACTCCAGACTGGAGCAGAATACAGTCAAAGTTAAAAGGCGGGCCAGGAAACAGCATGTTCTGTGGCTGTTCATAAATAGATTAGGAAACTCACTTGAGGTGCTTCAGCATGTTAGCAGAACTGAGGAGCATTGCTGTAGGGTTGGCAATGTTCCTGCCCACTGCTTGCGCAAAGGGGTGGCGAGCTCCCTGGAGGGGGGAAAAAAAAAAAAAGGCAGGAAATGAAGCAACCAATGAAAACGTTTCCTCTTTCATCAAACTAATTTTAACCCTTAAGCAAGAATGAATAGTGATCATTATTTTTGATTCAGGATTTGAAGAGTCAAAGCAAATGAGTAGAAAATAAAAGTTTGATAACAAGCAGATAAACTATAAGTCGACAGCTGTAGGCTCATGCATTTACACTTTTAACCTTTAGGGCCCAGCATAGAACCTTGTGGTTCACCACTGGGTCCATTAAACCAGATTTAATATTGTTTATTCAAATATAACGAATCTATTATTTAGAAAGCTGTTTATTCAAGAATGTGGAATGTGTTGACGTTGATAATGGAATTTAATTCATCTAAAAACAACACAGGTTAATTTGTTGCTTTAACTCTCGCATGTTTAGTTTCTGCCCTCACGGTGTATGCGACAGACGCGTCACAGACTCACCGAACTTTGATTCAAACAGAAGGACTTGATTTAATCACAGAATACTCACAGTTTCAAAAACAGCATATTCTGCACTGTAACTTTCCCCTGGAACGACTCCGGCTCCCCCAACCAGTCCTGCTGCCAGGTTATCGATGATATTTCCGTAAAGGTTGGGCATGACCAGTACGTCAAACTGGTAGGGGTTTTGAACCAGCTGGAAGAATGAAACAAGTAAATCTTAAATTAAAGTTGAAAAAAAAAAAAAAACGAAAGAAAATACAACACCAAACACCATGGCGATACTGTAGTGTGGCGAGGTAGAGAGAAATAACACACAATAAAAACACGGCTGTAAATACCTGCATGCAACAGTTATCGATGATTATGTTCTCATATTTGATTTTGGGGTACAGCTCCGCCACCTCTGCACAACTCTGCAGAAACAGCCCATCGCCTAGTTTCCTGCAATGACACAACAGAGAAGGATGGACATTGCTGTAATTGTGACACAAATTATCACCGCAATTGATCAAGTTTTAAAAATCAACAGACAAAGAAACCAAATTCAAATCTTCTAAAGAAGCCCTCACATGATGTTTGCTTTGTGAACTGCTGTGACCTTGCTTCGACCCGTCTTAGTGGCGTAGTCAAAGGCAAACTTGGCGATGCGTCGTGACTTCTCTCTGGTGATGATCTTCAAACATTCGATCACGCCGGGCACACTCTACGAACAGTTACACGGTGATGGTTTCAGTGGGAGAAAGAGAAAAGAAAACTACAACATTCAAATAGAGGAATCAAAACATTTTTTATGACAGATATTAGATGCGGCTTTTCTGTTGGAATTTTTCAGGCGGCAGTAGACTTAACGGGAACTGTTTACCTCGTGCTCCAGGGAGCTGTACTCCCCCTCGGTCTGCTCACGAATGATGACGAGGTCCAGGTTGTTATGGCGAGTGCTGTAGCCGGGCAGGCTGTTCACATGGACCACGTTAGCAAACAGGTCCAGTGTGCGCCTGGGGAAACAACCGAGATGTACGGTGACGTTTAAACGCAGCAGATACACTTTTTTTTTTTAAGGGTTTCTAGGTATTACCTTAGTTTCATTTCAAAAGACGCCAACTCCCCTTTGTTCTCCATTGGTGAGTGAATCTTTCCTAGTTGACAAAAAAACAAACAAACATAAAAAGCAGATATGCTAAAGTTTATTATGCATTATAAAGTTACAGCAGATATTTGGATGGATGGACATGACAAAAAAAAAACATATCTGTTTAAAATCATAATCACAATCCTGGTCAATTACTATCTACTAAAGGCTAGTAGTGCAAAAAAAAAAATCTAAAGCAATAAAAACCTAATAAAGTTCAGCTAAAATTCACTTTTGCTGTGTAACAGTATGAATATTTTGCATCATGATTATTTTGTGAAACTCAATCACACACATGGATTCAGACAATATTTTAGAGCAGAATGTGTTGTAAGCAGTGTTTATTAGATTTATGCTATTTGTAGTTCAGAGCGCTTTATACTTGAAAAAGGCTTCCGTTATGTTGACCAAGGTGTCACTGTTTTAGCTGCTCTGTGTACTCACAGCCTCAGACAAAATGCTGGCAGTCCAACAAAAATGATATGAACATCATGAAGAGTCCAAACATCCAGTTACATGTAAACCATTAGCCGCCAGACGGTGCAGTGGCAGCTGAAGGAGAATGCTGATCTTACAGCTGGTTTAAATGTCCCTGCCTTACTTCTTACTTCTGCTCAAGTGGTTCACAATATGTCTGAGGCAATGTGTTAAGTGTTACAACAGCGCCTGCTGCTGCTGGATCAGAGACTACAGGATGCTTCAAAGACAACCGAGCGGATCTGGATCTTGAAGAAGCTTTTGCAAAGACGAGAGTTAAAAGAACAACAATACCCTTAGGTAGAGGTAACAGAACATATTGTCAGAGTTCAAACATATTTATTACACTCCCCTGTGAAATGAAAGAGAAACAATTTAAAATCTGTTGCGTTTCAACAAAAAGTGAACATGATTTGGATGCCAACTCTATTCTTTGTTTTATTCATGGCAAAAGCTTGGAACAAGTATGATTGGATGGAGGGCTGCACAGTGGCGCAGTTGGCAGAGCTGTTGCCTTGCGGGTTCGATTCCCGGTCCCGGTCTTTCTGCATGGAGTTTGCATGTTCTCCCTGTGCATACGTGGGTTTTCTCCGGGAACTCCGGCTTCCTCCCACAGTCCAAAAAACATGACTGTTAGGTTAATTGGTCTGTCTAAATTCTCCCTAGGTGTGAGTGAGTGTGTGTGTGTGTGTGTGTGTGTGTGCGTGTGTGTGTGTGTGTGTGTGTGTGCGCATGGCTGTTTGTCCTGTCTGTCTCTCTGTGTTGCCCTGTGACAGACTGGCGACCTGTCCAGGGTGTACCCCGCCTCTCGCCCGGTACGTTAGCTGGAGATAGGCACCAGCAACCCTCCCGACCCCACTAAGGACAAGGGTGTAAAGAAAATGGATGGACGGATAAATTTTTTTTAAAGTATACAAACTGATTTTCTACACTTATCCAGACTTAAAATATATGTGGATGACATTTCATACTCTATCAGACCCATATGAACCCACTTTATTACACATTTCAAATCACATATTCTTAGTGACTGAAGAGCCGCAGAAAAAGAGACCCTACCTTTAATAGCCACTTTGTTGGTTTTCATCGAGTCCAATAATTTATCCAATCTTTCGTCAGATGCCCTGTTCTGCACTTCACTCATAAAGAACTCATCGAATTCAACAGGGATGTCACCTGCCTAAAGATAAGGACAAATAAAATTTATATTAAAGAAACACCAATATGAACCTATGAAACTGTCAAACTGTCTCGATGTTAATATCACTGACTCTGACTGCAGGTTCTATGGAAACAGGAAAGAGGAGGCCATTACTTCAATGCTGTACCTTAAAGACATCCTTGACTGCAGTCATCAGCTCAGGTCCCACTCCGTCACCTGGAATCATAGTGACTTTGAAGGTACTATCAGCGCGAGCTGGTGGGGTTTCGGGTCCACAAAGATTTGCAGAAACACTTAGAGGTCTAGAGACCAGCTGATGTAAGCGGGCGCCTCCCAGGCCCTAAGAAATGTCAACAAGCACAAAGTTACAGCAGCAGTTACAAAAATTTCAAAACATAAAAAAAGGGGGAAACGCTGTGATTTTCCGTTGTTTTTCTCCTACAATAAATCACTCAAACCCCAGGAGGATTTTTTCCAAAGAAAGCAACTCCAACAATTCTAACCTTTCCGCATTTCATTTTAAAGATATGAAGCTCTTATCTGACTTGATCTTGTTCAGAAACCGCAAGATGTAAATAATGATTTACATATGATTGCAGGATACTTGCACAAATTCTCTGTTTGCATATAAAAACGTTGATCTTTCATATTACAGTACTAACAACTACATACAAGTGAAGGTGAAACTGGGGATCATCTTCTCCCACAAAATAATAATAATAATAATAATAATAATAATAATAATAATTACTTCTTTGCTTGTGCACACAATCTAGGCCAATAAATCTGATTCTGACGTGTCATATGTAAGCAAATGTGCTAATTACACAAACGTTACTGTTTTAAGTCATTTATGAGATGCAGCTCCATTTAGAGATAAAGTAATCAAATAAATATTACAGTGATGCATGTGTGATTAAAGATCATCATCCAAAAAAGTCACGAGTGGGTGGGTGGGTTAGCTGGATGCTAGGAGGGCTGAAGGGTGTGGTCGTGGGTGTGACTTTGAAGTCCAACCTTGAAACAGGTAAGAAAACCTTCGACTGTTGAAAATTAGATTGATCCGTTACTTTGATATTTTCCAGTTACATGATAACAATTAGCAAATAAATAAAACTAGCATGATATGCCAGAACGGCTGAGATACTTTTAATAACTAACAGATACAATACAGGAAGATAACTCTGCTCTACTGACCACCAAAATTAGAAGAAATCGTTTTTTTTTGTTGTTGCTGTTGCTAAACTTTGCTATCGTGTGTCTCAATTCTCCGAGGGGGGCTCTTGATGAGACACACATGCCACAAGTTGAAGTTTCCTGCCGTTTCTGTGACAGCTGAAATAAACCCCTTTGCCTGAGTTTGACCAACCTCACTTCTCGGTTCTAACAGGTGTGATAACCCTGTTATACTGTCAACATCCTCTCAGCACTCACCTTGGCCAGTGCTACTACAGTTCCTCTCAAGGCGGCCGCCATAGTTCCTAGAGAAGCTGGACGACTTCTTCTGTGGCAGATTACTGATGCAATGCCCCAAACCTCGAGACAACACCTCCCCCTTCAGGACACGCACTGAATGACGTATTTTAGGACAAATAAGATTAAAGTTGAAGAAAGTTATTATTATTATTATTATTATTATTATTATTATTATTATTATTATT